ATTCCTTAAAACACTGCAGGCTGGGAATTTAGCTCAGTGGCTCCTTCTGCACAAGTACAAGGTCCTGAGTTCATCCCCAGTACTGAAAAATAGCAAAACTTCAAAATAGGGTTTGGAGCATAGCTTAGTGATAGACTACTTGTGTAGTGTGTTCAAGGCTCTGGGTTCAATCCCTAGCACCACAAGAAAAAAAAACAAGACTAAAAATAGAATTACAAGCTGGACATGTCCCAGCACTCAGGAGGCTGAGGTAGGAGAACAAGTTCAAGGCCAGCCTGGGCTACAATTTTTTTTAATTACCATATGATTGGTCTGGGGATTTAGCTCAGTCATTCTGCCACCTGCCTTGCAAGCACAAGGATCCAAGTTCGATTTCCAGTACCCCCCCAAAAAAAAAGTCAAACTAAATTACCATATGATCCAGTAATTCCTACTGGGTATATATTCAAAAGAGATGAAATAAATACATCAGAGAGATATGTATACTTTTCTGTTTCTTTGTTTCTTGCTGCACTAATTATAATACCAAAAACATGGAATCAACCAAGACGTCCATCAACAGAGGAATAGAGAAGGAAAATGTGAGATAGGTATTTATATATGTGAATAGCATTCAGCCATAAAAAAGAATCAAACCCTATTATTTGTAGAAGTGTGAATGGAAATGAAAGTCAGTATGTTACGTGAAACAAGTCAGGCACAGAAAGATAAATGCCACATGTTCTCACCAATTTATGGAAATTAAGAAACCCATCTCATGCAGATCACTAGAGGCAGGGAGGAGTATTTGGGTGGGAGGGATGAAAAAAGTTACATGAGGCACCAAAACCTAGTTAGAGAAGACGAATTAGGATTATCTATAGTATAGTCAGTAACTATTGATTAAAACAATCTATTTTTCAGAATAATTGGTAGAATACAAATTTCCAACACATAAAAATGATTAATATCTGCTGCCTGCCTTGCAAGCGTAAGGTCCCGAGTTCGATCCCAGGTTAAAAAAAATGATTAATGTCCTGGGCATGGTTGTACACACCTGCAATCCCAGCACTTAGGAGGCTGAGGCAGGAGGATCAAAGTTCCAGGCAAGCCTGGGCTATAATGTTTGAGAAAAAGGAAGTGCTTATAACCCTGATCTAATCATTGCACATCACGCACATATATCAAATTATCATAATATACTCCATAAAGAGGTACAAATGTTATGTCTCAATTTTAAAAAATAATTATATGTGGGCATGGAGGTACACACTTGTAATTCCAGTGCTCTGGGAGGCAGAGGTAGAAGGATCACAGGTTCGAACCCAGCATGGGCAGCTTAGCAATTAGCAAGACCCTGCCTCAAAATAAAATATAAGAAAGGGATGGGGATATAGCTCAGTGCAAAGACCCTAAGATGCATCCCCAGTGCCACACACACACACACACACACACACACACAGAATTATCAATCTCATCTGAGCAATTCCATGCCCAATTTCACTGAATTCCCATTAGCCTCAGTTCTTCCTCCTCCTCCTCCCCTCTCTCTCTCTCTCTCTCTCTCTCTGTCTTTTCTCTTTCTCTTTTTCTTTTTTGTACTAAGAATTCAACCCAACACATTCTCACTGAGCTACATCACCAGCCCTTTTATATTTTTTTGTTTTGAGACAGGTCTTACGTTGTCCAGGCTGGGTTTGATCTTGTGATCCTCCTGTCTCAGCTTCCCAGAGTCCAGGGATTACAGCAAAAGTCTCTTGTCCCATTTCAAGCCTGTGGCTCCATTCATCTTAGTCTAATGAACTCCAAAAAACACGTTACACATATCACAATTTTTTTTCTTTTCCTTTTTTTTTTTTTTTTTTTCCTTAGGCCGAGTCTTGTTTTGCAGTCTAGGCTGACCTTGAACAACTCATTATGTAATTCAGACTGGCCTTGAACTCTTGGTGATCCTCCTGCCTCAGCTCAAATGCTAGGATTATACTCTCCCCACTTCCTGGGGATCAAACCCAGTATCAGTAAAAGGACTCTACTGCCAAGCTACATCCTCAGGCCCCCTCTTCCTCTTTTCTTTTTCTTTCTTTCTTCTTTTTTTCCCCTGGTACCGGACATTGAACTCGGGCCCTTAGCACTTGCAAAGCAGGCCGGGAACCACTGAGCCAAATCCCTGGCCCCCCTCTTCCTCTTTTGAGGCAGGGTTTTGCCAAATTGCCCTGGCTGGCCTTGGAGTTAAACTTGTGATCCTCCTGTCTCAGCCTCCCAGATGTGCACATCACATCCAGCTTACATACATATGACAATCTGAGACTCCAAGCACCAGTCTGTATGGTTGTGCAGTCTGTGCATTGTACTATAGCAGTTTGTGGAAGGGCAGGTTAAGGAGATCAAGTCTAGGCCATTTTCTGCTAGACAGGCCAGCCTGGGAGCAGTGTTTTTTCTATGACTTTTGCTCAGAAAGGCGCCCTTTTGTACAGATGCACAAAAGCAACTCCTGAGTTTCCTTCAAACCATCCTTCTCTGTTATCCTCAGAAATTGAACTCCTCTACAAACTCCTTTGAGCTTCTTCATAAAATCTCCCAAGCCACTGTTAACTCCTGGGATTTGCATTTGTGTAGAGTGTGTATGTGTGCATGGGGTGTTTCTGTGAGTGTGTGTTTTGCTGAGTATAGAACATAGGGTCTTGTGCATGCTAGGCATGGCATGCACTCTACCACTGAGCTACACCCCAAATCCCCTCTCTCTTATTTTTGGGTTTGTTTTTTTTGGAGACTGTCTCGCTGTGCAGTTAGATTGGTTTTGAATTCACTATGTAGCCCATGCTGGCCCTGAACTCACACCGATCCTCTTGGCTCAGCTCCTGAGTGCTGGGATTACTGGTGTGTGCTACTGCATTGGGCTGCTCTGTTGAATTAATACAATTTACTTGCCTCCTAATCAAAGCTCTCAGCTTTTGTGCAATTTAGGGTAGGTTTTGGTTGCTATGTAACTTCTTTAATTTTACATGAGTTTATGTTCGCCCAAGCTAGCTTGTAAGTTCATTGAAGAGAGGACAAACAGTACATATTTTGTGTCCCTCCAATTTTCTCACAAGTGTCATATACATTACAATCTGATCAGTAAACATCCCTAGAACAAATCCTTTATACAAATACACAAACATTCTGAGGAAGAATCAGACTTGGGCAAACTGGTACAACAAACAAGAGAACAGCACACAGGAATAACAGAGAAATAGGCTTCCTTTTTCAGCGCAGACCTCCAGTTTCCAGCAAGTGCTGTCAGTCAGGTACTTGCATGTTTTATTTTATTTCCAGCATTTAATAACATATTTAAAAATATTATGGGGCTGGGGATTTAGCTCAGTGATGCTGCTGCCTGCCTTGAAAGTGCAGGGTCCTGCATTTCATCAGAAAAGGTAAATAACTGGCTTGGTTATCACATTGGTTTCTACTCCCTCTTACTACCTAAAAGGGACAGTTGTGCTGCACTATGGCTGATGCTGGAAGTGTCAGAGTAAGATATTTGCCATAAAGTTATTTTAAGAACATGTTCTTCTGTGCTTTTTTCAGAGCACTGCAAGGGCCAGGATGTTGTGTTTTTCCCTTTCTTTCTCCCTCCTCTCCTCCTTGTCTATACTTTACCTGATCTTAGAAACTGCCAAGGGCAAATGTAGTTCCTGGCCTGTTCTAGATTTCCACTGGTCAGATTGTTTTTCCCCTCTGCTACAGCCTGATTGGTTACCTCCTCCTTTCTGAGGTTACATCTTTATAGGGTTTGCTGAACCTTCAATTGCACTTTGGGTCGATTGCTGCTTTGGCAATGACAAAGCCTACACCTTAATTTTTATTATTTCCAGGATACTATCCCCCTTTTGAAAGTATTGTACACCTGTCAACTATTCTGACCAGATATAGGGAGAAGGCTTTGAATTTAGCAAGCCAATTCAGGAGAAGCAAAAAGTGAACAAAAACCAATATAAGCTAGATGACTGGTTTCAAACACATTTTCTGCTTAGGTATAAAATTCAATGCTATGTCTTTGTGCCTTATTCTGGGTTTTTAATAACCCATGTTTTTACCCCTTCACCTCTAGAATCACAGATGGATATTCTATTTCCTGGCTTTTCTTTTAATAACTCAGGGTTGCTCCCCCTCCCCGAATATGTTTTCTGTATCCCAGAGCCTAGCCAAAGGAAAAGACAACCTTAAGACCCAAGGTAGACCCCTCCCTGGGAACAGCAACAAGATAATACACAGCACGGTTTGAGACTGCACTGCAATGTGACTGGAATGAGTAATGGTTTCTCATTCGGTACAGCTTCTTTCTCCACCTACCAAACGCGAGACTGTGCCATCTCAGCCTCGTGATGAGGAGATATTACGACACATCCCAATAAATTCATGAAGTATCTTGTCTGTAGAGCCCTGCTCTACCCTGTAGCTTTCACTTTATTTTGAAGGATCGGCGGGACGGCATCAGTCAAAAGATGTCGGCTCTGAAAGCTAGTGGAAGCACAATGAAACTTCCATCGTTGAAATATATAATCTGCCGCCTGGAAAACACTCACAAATAGACCTAAGAAGAAAATGCAGCTCCGTAGCCCCCCACTCCCGCCTTAGGTCGCGTTGGCGGGCGGGACTTGGTGCTTGGCCACGCCCCTTGCGTCTGGTTCCCCAAGGGGCGCGCCCCACCCGGGCCCCTGGAGGCCTGTAGCGAGGCCGGTTCTGCCTCTTCTTCCCTGCAGTAGAGCCGAGGGATAGTTCTTGCGCCTGCGCACTGCGTTGCTATGTGCCTCAGCGCCCTCCGCCCGCCTCCGCCGCCTGCGCTAGGGTCCTTTGTGCGCATGCGCTCTTTCACTCCTTCGCTTGCTGCTCGGGGCTGAGTCAGTCTGTCGGAGTCCGTCCTCTGAGCAGGCCGAGAGAAGGAGCTCCGGGTAGCCACCTGACCGATTATTGTTTCCCCTCCCTCTCTCCCGCCCCAGTTCGCTCTTCGCCCTTCTTCCGCCCTTGCTCGTGCAGCCATGGCGGACTTGTCAGCAGCCACTCAGTCCCCGTCTGTCTCCTCATCGTCCTCCGGGGCCGAGCCGTCCGCGCCCGGCGGCGGCGGCGGCGGGA